ATAGAGGGCAAGAATTTTACATGTCTGAGATCAGAGGTGTTGGAACAGTACGTGTCTATTTTATATAAATATATGATCCATTTATTTGCATAATATACATTTATATATGACATTTTGTAACATGTATAAATGGGATTTATTTTAAGTCTGTATGCTAATATACAGTATCAGCTGTGGCTCTGTTGGCAACAGTCAGAAAGCCATAGGTTTAAGCCCAGCCGTGGGACTTTAAGAGTAAAGGCTGACATTCCCAGTGTTATTCTGAGGGTGTGATGCACTGTTGAAAGTGGATTTAACATCTGCCCTGGATTTAACAGATCTGTGGCACCATTTTAAAGAAGAGCGGTGAGGTTCCTCTGGTGCTACGATCAATATTTTGGGTGGGCATGAAAGACGAAGAAGAACAGGGAAGGTCTCCCTGGTGCCCCAACCAATATTTTTCCCTCAAACAACATCAAAGATTGCATTATCTGGTCATTATCTCTTCGTGGGAACTTGCTCTGTGCAAATTGGCTGCTGTGTTTCCCGTGGCAATGTTTTCATTTCCTATAAAATGTTTTGAGACATTCATTGGTCATCCAAAGCACTATACAAATACAAGTCTTTCTTTCTTTTTTTTTAGATTTGTTAATATTACTTTTTTTATTCATTTGCGGGATGTGAGCATCGCTGGCTGGGCCCAGCATTTCTTGCCCATCCCTAGTTGCCCCTTGAGAAGGTGGTGATGAGCTGCCTTCTTGAACCACTGCAGTCCACCTGCTGTGGGTTGACCCACAATGCCATTAGGGAGGGAATTCCAGGATTTTGACCCAGCGACAGTGAAGGAACGGCGATATATTTCCAAGTCAGAATGGTGAGTGATTTGGAGGGGAACTTGCAGGGGGTGGCGTTCCCATGTATCTGCTGCCTTTGTCCTGTTAGATGGAAGTGGTTGTGGGTTTGGAAGGTGCTGTCCGAGGATCTTTGAATAACTTATTGATAATTGAATTTTCTTTTCTTTATTCATTCGTGGGAAGAGGGCGTTGCTGTCCACCCCTAATTGCCCAGAGGGCAGTAAAGAGTCTACCAAATAGCTATGGGCCTGTAGACACACGTAGGCCAAACTAGGTAAAGATGGCAGTTTCGTTCCCTAAAGGGCATTAGTGAACAGGTGGGTTTTTCCAACAATCAACAATGGATTCATGGTCATCATTAGACTCTTAATTCCAGATATTTATTGAATTTGAATTCTATCATCTGCCGTAGTGGGATTTAAACCTGTTATCTGGGTCTCTGGATTGACAGTCTAGCGATAATATCTCTAAACCATCACCTTCCCATTTAGAGATAGTAGGAACTGCAGATGCTGGAGAATCTGAGATAACAAAGTGTAGAGCTGGATGAACACAGGCCAAGCAGCATCAGAGGAGCAAGGAAGGCTGACGTTTCGGGCCTATACCCTGCCCATTTAGCTGCCTCCCCCTCAGCCACCTGATCATCATCCCAGAACACACCACTCCGAGCAATTTGCTTTACCTGGGATTATCCTGAAAAGTTTTTTGCTGGTGTGGTTCCCTAGTACTGGGCAAAGTTATCTTTCAGGATGATGTTGGGTTTAAAAAGTAGCCGCATGTCCAAACTATGGGTCAGAGAAAGTCAGAAGTCACATGACACCAAGTTATAGTCCAACAGGTTTATTTGAAATCACAAGCTTTCAGAGCGCAGCTCCTTCATGAGGTGAAGTGACTTCAACCTATGAAGGTGCAGTGCTCCGAAGCTTGTGATTTCAAATAAACTTGTTGAACTATAACCTGGTGTCGTGTGACTCCTGACTTCGTCCACTCCAGTCCAACGCCAGCACCTCCACATATTGGTACGACAGAGTTACAATTTTCAAGGGCCGTGTCAGGCTGTTACTCGAGCTTGCTGAAGGAGTGCTGTGCTGCCGCAGGTACTATTTGAGGATTTAAACAGAGATCCCTCCAACCTCTCGGGTGGAGCTAACAGATCTGTGGCACCATTTTAAAGAAGAGTGGTGAGGTTCCTCTGGTGCTACAATCAATATTTGATCCCTTAACCAACATCACTAAAAGTAAATTCTCTATATTGTTCTGAGGAGGGGTCACTGAACCAAAACATTAACTCTCATTTCTCTCCACAGATGCTGTCAGGACTTGCTGAGATTTTTGAGCAATTTCTGTTTTTGTTTCAGATTTCCAGCATCTGCAGTTGTTTGCTGTTTTATTTTTCCCCTTCTATATTATCTGTTGACAGTATTGACTGCCTGTAAGGCTGGTAGAGGCAGAAACCCTCAGTATTGAAGAATTATTTAGGTGTGCACTTGCAATACCAAGGAGCAAAAGACTGTGAGCCAAGTGCTGGAGAAAAGGACTATAATACTTGGGTGGTTGGTTTTGATCAGTGCAGACTCAATGGGCCACAGGGCCGTTTTGTGTGTTGTAGACCTCAGTGACTAAAGACAAAATGTTAGAGATGCTGGAAATCTGAAGCAAACACTGAGGATGCAGCAGGTCTGGCAACATCTCTGGACAGAGAAACAGTTAACATTTCAAGCCTGGTCTGACTGTTCTCCAGAACCCTCCTTCAGTTTGTGATAAAGATTTGAAATGTTAACTCTGTTTCTGTCTGAGATCAGAGGTGTTGGAACAGTACATGTCTGTTTTATATATGACATTTTGTTACATATATAGATGGGATTTATTTTAAGTCTGTATACTAATATACAGTATCAGCTGTGGCTCTGTTGGCAACAGTCAGAAAGCCATAGGTTCAAGCCCAGCCCTGGGACTTTAAAAGTAAATTTTTTTTTGTCCACAGATATTGCCAGACCCACTGAATTTCTCTTGCATTCTCTTTGTTTCCTTTATACTGACACTTGCTTAGACCAAACCTGGAATGCTGGTCTCTTCTATAGAAAGGATATGCAGGTACTGGAGAAGGTTTGGAAAAAAATTTACTGGAATGATACCAAATTGAGAAGTTAATAGAAAAGAGGTAATGGAAAAGATTCAATTAAGATTAATCTAGATAAACACACATCAAGAACAATATGTTGTTATGTTCTACACGATATTACAGTCATTGTGTTATTGAAGACTATAACACTCAAAAAGTCCCTTCGGGCCATCTAGTCTGTGCTGGTGAAAACAACCACCTAACCATTCTAATCCCATTTTCCAGCACTTGGCCCAAAGCCTTTTATGCCTTAGTGTTTCAAGTGCACATCTAAGCACTTCCTCAATGTTATTAAGGCTTCTGTCTCTTCCCTACCTTACAGGTGCTGAGTTCTAGATTCCCACCACCCTCTGGGTGAAAAGATTTTTCCTTTCATTTCCTTTAAACCTTTTGCCCCATACATTAAATATATGCGCTACCTATTCTCCCACCAGATGTGCTGGTATGGATAGATTAGTCCCCTTTATCTGTGGGTGTATGATTTTTACTGTGTGCTTTACGATCTGCTCATTATCAAGTTGCTGTTTGTGGGATCTTACTGTATTCAAATTGGTTGCTACATTTGCCTACATTACAAAGGGACTGCACTTCAAAAAGTGGAAGTACTTAATGTGTTGTGAAGGGTGTGGCCATGTGAGTCAGTCTTGTCCAGAATCCTCACTGCTGCACACACTATCGTGACAGAACAGCTTGACACCGAGGAAGTGGGCCAGCAGAATAGTTTCCTGTCATCTTGGAATAACAAGAGCAAAAGCCAGATCACCTGCATTTGTATAGCCCCCGTTCCCAATCTCTGCCACTACAGTCATAGAATCATACAATATGGAAGCAGACCCTTCGGTCCAACCAGTCCACGCCGACCATATTCCCAAACTAAACTTGGCCCATATCCCTCCAACCTTTCCTATCCGTGAACTTATCCAAATGTCTTTTAAATGCTGTAACTGCACATGCATCCACCGCTTGCTCTGGCAGTTCATTCCACACGCGAATTGCTCACTGTAAAACAAAAAAGTTGGTCCACATGTCCTTTCTAAATCTTTCTCCTCTCACCTTAAAAATGTGTCCCCTAGTTTTGAACTCCCCGACCCTAGAGAAAAGACATCTATGCCCCTCATGATTTTATAAACCTGATTAAGGTCACCCCTCAACCTCCTAAATTCCAGTAGAAAAAGTCCCAGTCTTTCCAGTCTATTTTTGTGTGTCAAACCCTCCATTTCTGGCAACATCCTGGTAAATCTTTTCTAAACCCTCTCCAATTTAGTAATATCCTTCCTGTAACAGTCATTGGGCATTGATGAGGTAGGGCCTCTTACATAGATGTGCAGAGTACAGGTTATGAAGGACTGCTGGATAATCCTGGTTTAAGCTACATTACTGATGTGAACTTTCAGTTCACTGTTGGGTTTCTTTCTTTACTATTTTGCTGATAATGTTTGGCCTCTGTACGAGAGGTTTATAATGTGAAGCTGCTGAGAGGGGACTGGCAAATTGTGACATTTCATCAGCCTAAGAGAACC